TTAGCCCCTTTATCTATTCCTCTTTTCCATATTTTGGCAATGAGTCATCAAATTATTCACTGCCAAAACTCATGCCAACAATGCTACTGGTGATTATTATGTGGGTTCTGGCAAGGTAGGAGCAAACTTGGTCAGTTTTGTGCACCTATAGCACTATTTCACATCGGATCCATGAGTGAATCGGGTACTGTTAAAAGGTTTATCCCTTCATTTCCTCAATCTTCATTTTTCGTCCCAGTATTCTACCCTTCTTCTTGGGATCCTGCATTGTGCCAATATCTTTCTCATGCAGTTCAGACATTCCTTCTCAAGGATGCTATAGAACTTGTGAGTCTTCCCTCCCCAAGGTTTTACTCCAGGTTTTTTATAGTTCCCAAAGCAATTGGGGACTGGCATCCAGTAATTGACTTATCACATCTCAATCGGTTTATCAACGTTTCCTATTTCACCATGGAGTCATTCCTCACCTTTTGGTAGGCAATTACTCCAGGTATGTTGATGATGAAGGTAGACATCTTGGATACTTACCTACACATCCCTATTGCCCCATCATCCAGACAGTACCATTGTTTTGTATGCAGGGGTAATATTTATGAAATCTGTGAGTGACCTTTCGGTATGCCTTCTGCACTCTACGTTTTCTGTTGGATGGTCAGAGCCTTTGCTGACTACGTCGTGCACAGTGTTTGCACTTTTATCAGGACATGGAACAACTGGCCATTATTTTTTTCCATCCCAAAAATCTCTCACAAACACGCTCAAAGCTGCTTCTTTGAGAAACAACTTGTGTGGGATTGGCTCATCATAACAGAGAAGCCCTTTCTTTCCCCAACACAATACCTCATCCAACTGTGAGTATTTTTAAACTCCTTCATAGCCAGGCCCAGTTTTCTCATCTTTGTCTATGGTCATTAGAGCATATGGTACTAAGCCCAATCCTCTCGTACACTGTTTGAATGTGAGGTTCTTTCTTTTTTTTGAGACATGGGCTTCCATTGAAGCCCTTATACTCTTGGGTCTTGCTCACATGCACACTCTTCAGTGGGTGTTGCACAATCAGTGTAATCTTGCTTGGGATCCCCTTGACTCCATTATCTGTCTTCCTCCCTCACTGCAAGGTGATTTTACGTAGCGATTCAACAGGGACAACACCATGGCAGTCCTTACTCCTCCACCTTCGTGACCCTAGTTGCATCTGTTTATAAATGCTTCTTTTACAGGTTGGGAGTGAGTACAGATTCTCAGGAAGTCTTGGGTTGCAGGTCTTCAGTCAAGATGGCAGTGCACATCAATTCTCAAGTTTTTTGGTAGTTATGTGGGGTACTCTACATCTGGATGCAGTTAACATCCATCTCAATACCAAATTACCCCATTTTTGGTCACCAGTACCTCATCCTTTGGCTTTGCCAGTAGATGCTTTCAATTAAGAATAGACCAACCTTTACCAATTCCATTTTTCCCCATTACTACAGGGTATTTTTTCTTCTACCATTTCCCTTTTGTTGCATTCCATCCAGATCCTTCAAATCTCCTTGTCCTATGCTCCTCCTAGATTGGAACCTTAATGCTGTTCTCCATGTCCTTACTCAAACTCTATTTGAACCCTTGATTACTTGTTCCCTGTACTGTTTATCCCTCAAAACCTATTTCATGATACTTTTTGCCAGTGGTTGTCTGATATTTTTACTATCAGTGTACCAAGTGTTATTTATCACTGTACCCATGTTCTCCCCTATCCAGATTGAAGTTTTCTACCCAAGATATTGGCAGCTCGTGAAAGCAACATCTCTTTTTACACCGATTTACCAACTTTCAATTTCCTGTTTGTATTCCCATTCTGATCCAGATAGATTTCTATGTTTTGTAAATACTGTCAGATGTAATGTTGCCTACATGGCTTCCTTCTGTGGTTACCTTTCCCATTTATTTACCCATTGGAACCTTTCCTCTTAATGAGATATTTCACCCACCATCCCCACAGGTTGGATTCACCAAACTATTAGGCTGGATTATTCATTTTTATCTCCCAAATCCTAACATTTTCTCCAGGTGTCAACTCATCAGATTCAATGTTTTCACTTTCTATTTCTTTGTCTTGAGGTGAAGAAGGTAAGGATCCTTCTCCTACTCTGGACTGGATGATAAATACCTAATTCCACCTGGTTTTGGACTGGAGTTGATCCATTGAGTATTATATGATGCACCCTAGCCATTCTGCATGACTAACTATATATTAACTCTCTCAATACAGGGTCGGTCAATTTGACCAAGTCACATGACCTTTTGTTCTTGTTTAAAGTATTTATAGATTTAATACTTATAACTCTCAATATAGTGGGTATATCTTCACGAAATTTGGCAGTCTTTCAGTTAATATTACAGGTCTTTCACATACAAAAAGTTATATTTCTTAGTAGTCCTTGTGCAAAGTAAATTTTATGTTAAAATTAAAAATACTTTTCCTCATCTCAAAATCTCAAATTTCCTTTGAGTAATCCCAAAAACCTCCTAAATGCATTTCAAACGTTTTTTTTAGTAAAACTCTATAGTTTATCTGTTATTTTCTCTACCCTATCTCAAAATGGGATCAGTCAATTCGACCGACCTCTTAACCACCAAAAAAAACACGAAATCAACTTAAATTACCCTATTTTTCTTTCTAGAATGACTTCAAATTGTGACATGAAACTACATTCGTTTATCATAAGTAGCTCTGAGTTCGTAAGAGTATACATCTATTTATAATTAATTTTTATTGTTTCATTGCCCTTTGACCTGTGTCTAACTTAATTGTGCCATTATAAGCTATAAATCACTCCGGGAATGTGCAACTCATGTCACGTTATCGATTTACATTACCCACGAGCTGCTTGTGTGTGTGTGTGGCTCGTGAACCATTTCGATTATA